GGGAAAGAGGATGGGAAGGATGGTAGTCACTATCGAAGTATTCCACCATCTTTCACATCACTCACCTCTTACACTGGATCGCCGCAGACAGCAGCGATGCCCACATCTCCTTCACAGCCTGTAGCTGCTGTTGAACGGCATGCCTTCTGGAGCAGTGTTCTGCAGGACATACTCCCCCCGGCTCACTATCATTTTCATCTGAATCTCTTTTTCTTGCTTCACTGACAACAGAGCCTGTTAGAAAACAAATATACAGAAGCTTGTAGACAGGTTTAATATCCCTGGGTTCCAGGAGTTCAGAAGTCCTGAAGATAGGAGCGTAATATGCAGGCATGCCACGGGACACCCATGAGAAGCCACTGAGGTGGGTGCCAGTGGCCAGGCACCCGCCACCTGTTTGTCTCTGAGTGGCCTAGACATTGCAGATCTTGAGTCTTCTCTATATAATATCTATAATATCTTCCTCCCACTGGCATTTCATTTTCTTGGTTTTAACAAGGAGAACTACGTACTCATGAATTCTCAAAGCTCACAGGATGAAGGGCTTCCAAATGTATCTAGTTTTATGCACATTGCGTTCTTCATACGTCCAGCTCCTTTAATATGAAACTCAAATTCAAAGTTGTGAAACTGGTAGTATCCCTCAAGACACATTGTTTCATGATGCTTCATATACCTGTATCTTATACCTTTGTAGCCTCAGTTGAGCCTTTAGTGGCCCCAGGTCTACTATGACAAGAAGGAACTGCAAGCAAGCTCTTACCCACAATGCTGGTTCTTACTTCTGGAATTTGCTCACATTTTCCCCTCCCTTAAATCACTACTCAGTCATCTGCACCAAGGCAGTCCCTCTATTGTTATTTTTAAAAATTATTATTACAGTTATTTATTGTGTGTGTATAGCACACACACACACAGACTCACAGACATAGACCCACAGACACACACACAGACACAGACACACAGACACACACACACACAGACACACACATACACAGAGACACACAGACACACACACACACACACAGACCCACAGACACAGACACACAGACACACAGACCCACAGACACAGACACACAGACAGACAGACACACACACACAGACACACACACAGACACACAGACACACACAGACACAGACACAGACACAGACACACAGACACAGACATACACACACACACAGACACACACACACAGACACACAGACACACACACACAGACCCACAGACACAGACACACAGACACAAACACACACACACACACAGACCCACGGACACAGACACACACACACAGACACAGAGACACAGAGACACACACAGATACACACACACAGACCCACAGACACAGACACAGACACACAGACACACACACACAGACCCACAGACACAGACACAGACACACAGACACACACACACAATGGTGAGAGAGAGAGAGAGAGAGAGAGAGAGAGAGAGCAGTAGAATGCTCCAGGCACAGTGGTGGCATACGCCTGTCATCCTGGAACTTGTGGTAACTCCTCTCTCCCTT